CCCGCTCCTCTCCCAGGTGACCTTTGTTGACTCACTTGCTGGCATGGGACAGATCTCTGAGTATTTATTAATAGACTGCAATAACACCTCCCACTGCACACTAGAATAGCCCACCCTAGCAAATGCTTGTTAATGAATTAGTCAGTGGAGATGATACTAGGTTTGCTTAACATTCACGGCACATGCTGTTTAGTGTTATATAAGGAAAGAGTGTTTCCCTTTTAGCCTCTTCAAAGAACAGCAGATTTTTGGTGTGCTCCATGGTTTAAAGGTCTCACCTGCCCACACGCTCAATTCCTGGCTGATCTCCCCATATCTCACACCATCTTGGTGTGAACCATGCCCACTCGGATTGATGCATCAAATTGGACATCTCTTTTGAATGTCAGACTCATAGCCAACCACATACTTACTGTTTCAATAGATTTCTAATAGTAACTACCACATGTCATGTCCAAAAGTAATAGTCCCCTTAAATCTGTCCCTCTCATTGGCTTCCCCAACTCAGTTAATGGCAAATTTCAGCTAAATGTGGAACCTTTCCTATACAGTGGAAGTCCATCGGTAGCTCAACTCATCCTACCTCCAGCATAGTATTTTTGATCTGACTCTGTTTCTAAGCACCTCCAACTATTGCTTTGCCCATGACCACTTTTCTTAAAAGATAATTGTAATACCTCCCTAACTGGGCTCCCTGTTTTTGCACTTGTCTCATTGTAGTCTATTATCAAATCAGCAGTGAGAATAATCCCACTGAAAAACAAGTCAGGCAACATCAGTCCTCGGTCCCAATGACCTCCCAGATTTCCATTTACTTCAAAGAAAAAAGAAAAAAATACAAAATTCAAAGTAAAAGCTGAAGTCTGAAAGTGATCTAAATCCTTTTGTCCTTCAGCACTAATCCCCTTCCCTGACACCTTGCTTCCAGGCCCTGCCTCTTAGCATCTGTTCCAGCCATAGAGTGGCCTCCTTGCTATTCCTAGGGTGCCCAGGTACACTGCTACCCACTTCCTGTCTTCTCTGCCTGTCCCCTGATATATTCATATGGCTCCCCACTCAAGCCTATGAGTCTTAACCCCAGTGTCACTTCACAGTGAAGACTTCCCTGACTACTCTATCTGAAATTACAACTTTCATATTCCTTGTCTCTCTTTGTTTTCTGTTACTATTTACCCTTAACCACTAGCCAACTTATACAGTCCACTTATTTATCTATTTTGCCACTGGTTCCTGCCCAGAATGGAAACTGCCAAGGCCAGGCTTTTGGCTGGTAGGTGTGGACTACTTGCTGCCTTCCCAGGGCCTAACCTGTCAAACTCAGGCCTCGGATCCTAGGATTTAGTCAGTACTTGAGTCTCTCTCACTCACAAAATGGGACCAACCTGGTCTTCTGAGCACCTAGGGTGAAGAGAAACTAAAATGTTCAACCGTGTTTACTGATTGAGTAAACACGTCAAATGTTAATTGAACACCCAGTGAGGTCAGTCTGTCCCTGAATCTAGCTGGTGTGTTTTGTTGAGAAGCTACTTCACCATGGAATGCCATAGGATCCCGGGCAGGAAGTCAAGTTAGACACAGTGGGATACTTGTGTTTACAGGAGCTACATCCAGTACCTGCTTTTCACAGCCACCACTAAATCAGGGCATGGTATACACCCCGACTCCACATAACACAGATGAGCTAAGGAAGCTAAACTTCGCAGGACGGTCCCTAGGTCTGTCCTTCCACTGGGCTGAGCCAATCCAGTACTTTCTTCTCACCTGCAGAGGCCACAGTGCAAGGTGCTTGCCTCAGAACCCCCCATGTGGCCTCTGCCTTGGTGAGTTTTAATACTCATAGCAGCTTTCAGAGTGCTGGCTATTTACCAATTTACATAGATGTTTAGGAAGAAAGATACATTTTTGTAGAAACATGATCTTTACATTTATCAAAATAAACAACAAAATAAGCACAAGGCAAGGGAAGATTATGACAGAGAGGAACTATAAATTATAAATTGTGTAACAAGGAATAACAAATAATTATGTTGTCAAGCATATATGGCACTGTGGTGGTCTGAGTCTGTTCTCAGAGAAATTGTGTGGAAATCCTAATTCCCAAGGTGATAGTATGAGTAGGTGATGCCTTTGGGGGCGATCAGGTCATAAAGGAGGGACCCTTATAAATGGGATTAGCGCCCTTATAGAAGCCGGATGGAGGAGGTCAAGTGGAGCAAGCTTGGAAAAAGCTCCCCTGCCCCTTCCACCATGGCAGGACATAGCCAGATAGTAGTTTCTATAAAGTAGGAGCCATCAGTAGACACCGAATCTACCAGGGCTTTAATCTCGTACTTCTCAGACTTTTGGGGGAAAGTTTCTGTTATTTATAAACTACCTAATCTATGGTATTGTGTTATAAAAGCCTGAAGGAATAAAAACAGGGATTGTATGACGTTTATGGGTGGCCTTCTTGTAAATATTTACTAAATTGAGGTCATTTAATATTCTGTATTATCTAAGAAGTAGGCACTATTCGTCCTCGCTGTTTTCCAGAGGAGGTGAACTGAGGCACAGAGAAGTTAAGTCACTCCCCTAATTCACAGTCCTTGGTGGAGGGTGACTAGGATTTGAACCCAGGCCATGGGGCTCCGGGGTGTGCGCTCTGAGGATATACAGTTTGGTATTCTTAAGACATCGAATGAAGCTTTGGAGCATGGGCCTTGAGACACAAGGGCAGGGGCGCGGGGCACGGGGCGCAGGTCACCTGGCCTGGCTCTGGTATTGTTCAACAACGGCGAGGTTCTTGATGAGCTTCCAGCACTGCTGCGTCCCGGGTGCGACCTTCGGGTCCTCTGTCGGATCCTGGGCCATGCCTGCTGGGCAGAGAGCCTCTAGCCTAGCAGCTTCCCAGAGGTCTGAGTCATAAACACCCCGCGTTCGTTATCACCGCTACTCCGGGCGCGAGAGCGGGCAGCGCGGGAACCCAGAGGGTGGGGCGGGGCAGGGACGGGGAGCGGGCGCAAGGGGTTGGGAGCCGCCCAGGGCCCTGCCCCTCCTCTGCCTCCCTGACTCAGGGCTGTGGCGCCGCCGGCAGCGGGTTCTCCCGCCGCCGCCGCCCGCAGGCCTGGCTGTGGCGGAAATGTCTCCAGCAAAGCTGCAGCCATGAGTGACTGCTGCGCCCCCATCCTCTTTGCTTCCTCCCTGGGGACACGCTGCGCTCAGCCTCCCTCGTGGATCCGTGCACTTGCAGATAGGGCTGGAACCTTGTCTTCCTACACCAACACCCTCTCTGGGTGTGTTAGAACCCCAGCTCGGTGACCTTCCGCTCCTTGGCCGCCCACCCGTGCTGGAAGTCACCCTCAGGGAGGATGACAGTGAACTCATCCGATAATGATGACAAGATCATCCCGAGGCTCCCAGGGCAGTGTCCTCAGACAGTAGGTGCCCCATGAATGCACAATGTCTTTGCAGAGATTCAACACACCTACATTCCCATTTAATAGAGAGCCAACCCAGCATGTTAAGCTTACACTGTACTGTGTGGTGTGGACTTTACTACATTCCTGCTGGTGATGGCCGTTTTGCTCACCGTTTGTTTTACGTTCTGCATGGATGACTGGGAGTGGTATCTATCAGAATGTCATTGCCTTCTTTGGAAGCTAAGCATCTACGTCTGCATTTCACTTACCTACAGAAAAATACAATTTTTATTCTCTCCATCATACTAACTAATGTGGAAAAGAGTTTTGCTATTAGATGCTCAAAATACAAAATCACTGTAGTATTATCACTACTCCTGTGTTTAAAGATACAGATGAAAATGCCCCAAACCCGAACAAAAATCTTAACCAATATTAAAATATTCTTCTATGAAGTTTTTCTTTTTCCTTCGGGGAGATAAAAGGGAACAAATGAATTGCTTGTACACTATAGAGTTTTTTTTTTTATTTTCAAAATCTAATCTCAAATGTTTTTTCTAATCTCAACTTTTACTTAGGAAATTTCTATTGCATAATCAAAATACTTTAAAGAAAGAAATGCACAATATGTTATTCTTCTTTTTTCATGTCCAATCTGAGGTCCTCTATTTCTTTCTGCAGTTGTTTCTTTATTTCAGAAGCTGTTGATTCATTGATTTCAGCTGTGTGATTCCCAATTTGTTTTGTGTTAGTATCCTCTGTTCTTGTTATGGGTGGGCTTGGGGTCTGAGATTGCATTTTGCTCCTTCTCATTGTCATTTTGTGTAGCACTGTCTTCTGACCTTTGTTGTAGAGCTTTGTTGCAGTTATAACCTTAGCACGTACTGAAGTTCAGGTGTAGATCTACAAGGTTTGTATTTAGCCAGCTGTTCCTGGCTTGGGTCTGGCTGCTGTGCTCAGCTCCTTCCTGCTGCTGCCCATGGGAGTGAACCTGTTGTGCCCCTCTGGCAAGATGTTCTGCTCCTGGACTAGCTGTGTGGCTTTGTCCCCTACACTCTCTGCAAGGATTGCAGCTGCAGGGTTTCACCCCAGGCCTGTAATCCAGGCCTGAGCTGAGTCTGGAGGGGACAAGGTGGAATAGTGAGGAGAGGCAGCTCTGCCACACACTCACTGGGCTGGAGCTAGGGCTGGATCTGGGGGTCACCAGAATGTGGCAGAAATTCTCACTGGGTGGGCAGGGTGGGGGGTGCTGCAGAATGGTGTGGGGGCCCAAGGGAGTGGAAGAGGGTCTCAGGCACACTGCGCCTGGGCTGGGACTGGCAGGTCCCGCAGGCGCAGGGTAGCAGGAAGCTCTCCCACACACTCACCAGGCCTGGTTTATGTTATTCTTCTTAAGTATTTTTTATACTACAACACATTTTTTAAAAGAAAGGTTAAAATTCCAATTGAAAATACCAACCTAATCCGTTTAGAATGGGGCCAAGGTAGCGCAAAGAATGAGATAAGTGACTGGTTATGTTGCTCATGCAATTGCAAATGAATATTTTGGAACTGAGGAAAGATCTCGTGAGTCACTGGTCAGGTCTGTACAGCATTTGTTAACAGATCCGTACTGCATGGTTACGCCATCCCATAGAAGCGTGCTGAACAAAACATCGTTGTTTGAACCCTGGCAGTAGCATACACGTCACTGTGCAGGAGACCGAGTTCTGATGATCATGGTGTTTGAAAGCCTGAACTACACAATTCTCCCCTTGTCAGTTTACCTGTATTTTATCTCTCACATGTTCTGGCTTGCGAAAGTGTCTCTGCAGAGCATATTCTCCAGTACTGAGTAGGGATGGCACTATACAAGATTTGTCATATTAAATCCTGCCTTGTTTATCACCTGTTGAATTCATTGATGGTTTTTAGCAGAAAGTACATGATCTCTGGGTAATGTTAAGAAAGAAAAAAACAAAATAAAACAAAAAACAAAACAGGCTCTGAAACTCTAGAATATTGGAGATGTTGTTTAATCTCTCACAGTCTAGGGCTGGGGATATAGTTCAGTGGTACAAGTGCCTGCCTGGCAAATGCAAAGTCCTGAGCTTGAATTCCAGTACATAAACAAACAAACAAGAAAACAATAAAACCTTTCCGAATCTGCTTTCTCACAAGTAGAAACTGGGTAATGAACTTTTCTCAAAGGCAGTAGGAAGGGCTGGGGATATAGCTCAGTGGTACAGGGCCTACCTAGCAAGCTCAGGGCCCTAAGTTTGATTCCTGGTACCAAAAGAAGAGGGGGAAAAAAAAAAAGAAAGAAAAAGAAAAAAAAAAGTCAATGGTGAAAATCTATAAAGCAAGGAAAGCCTGCAACCCACATCATATACTACAAAACTAATCCCAGCCAGATTTTCAAAGGAGAGTACTGTATCTTTCTTCCCAAACCACCACTGAGAGACCTCAACTTTATTGTATAGAGTTTTTAAGTTTTAAAAAGTTGAATATTTTATGAACTAAAATGATTTTTTTCTTGTTTAGTTTCTAGAACTTCAGGCACAAATTAAAAACACGTAACTATAGATGCAAGGTACATTTATATGAGCATATCAACTACCAATTATTAAAAGTGATAATGTCTCAGATTAAGTAGCATAGGGATTTGATTAAGAGTCAAGCCCTGACTCTAAACATAGTCCTTTCTATATTCCAGTTGGATATTATCAGTTCCATACTCTAGTAAAAACCAGGAGTTTCAGTGTAGGTTAGTAATTTAAATTCTTTCTGGAGACTCATCATATGTAAATGCTTATTTTTCTTTTATCACTGGCTGTAATCTATGATTATATGGTACTAGCTCTGTTATGTAAACTTGTTTTATATCATGCTTCATCCATAACCAGGGTTCTTAAATAAAGGGCTGGGAAAGGCACTAGCAAGGCCTCTCTAGCCAGGACTATTGCGTGCTACTAAATCCTTGATGGAAAAACTCCTGAAACTAGATCATTTCCGCATCTTACGTGCTGTTGCAGTGAGATGGCACATCCACTGTAAAAGCTCATTCACGTGTCTGTCACCCAGCTGAAGCTGACAACCAAGATGACAACACAGTAGGCAGTTCGGGCAGGGACAACCTAAGTATAAAGTTTGTGCCTCTTACTGCAAAGTGTCTTTTTTTGTTATCATTTTTGTTTCTTGAGGTACCACGATTGGTGCAAAGCCTTTGAACAGACCTGCCTCTCTAGCCTTTTAATTCTTTGAATTTTGTTTTTGATATAGTGTCTTGTTGAGTTGCTATGTTGCTCAGGCTGAGTTTGAACTTGGGATTTGCCTGCCACAGCCTCCCAGGATGCCCAGGTGCCAGGGGTCCTTCAGGCTGGAGCAGTCTTCTCCTGTATTTGGACCTAAGTTTGCATCATGAGCTTTTTAAATTTTTTAAAGAATACCAAACCGTAAAAAAAAAAATTAGAAACAATACAAAATTTCACTAAAAAAAGTAGTAGGAACTCAGCAAAGGTTGCTATAATGGGTGATGGTATTTTTAAATTAATTGCTTAGGGTACCATATATAAATGTGCAAAATTGATTAAAACAATAACAAAAACAACAAAAAAGTTACAAGAAATTAAAAAGAAAAAAATAAGAATAAAAAAATATTAAACATTAACTGTTCCTTTCAAAAGACCAGCAGGAATTGACAACACAATCATCCAAATTATCCTCCATATATATGAATAACTTTTCCCTTCTTTCTTTTGTCCTTTTCAGGTTTTCCTTCCCATGGAACAATTTTTTTCCCTTTCACAGTATCTGTTGTACCTTTCAGATTTTATTTACTCTTTCACACCAGCAAGACCATATGATGTTTGCACATGTGGGTCTGATTTATTTCACTGACCAATACAGTCTCTAGTTGCATCCATTTATCTAGAAAAGCCTGGAATTGATCTGTTTTATAGCCAACTAATACTCCATTGTGTAAAAATGCATTTCTCAGTTGATAGGCATTTGGATTGTTTCCAAGATTTAGTATGATAAATTGCACAGCTATAAACATGGGTGCACATATAGCGCTGTGGTATGATGATTCAGTTCTTTTGGAAAAATACCTAAGAGGAGAAGAGTTGGCTGGAATGGGGCCTCCAATCCTAGCTTTTTGAGGAATCTCTGTGGATCATGAGCTTTCCAAAGGGGGTTTAGCAACAACTTGGAGAAAATGCTAGAGCTTCGCAGTTGCAGAAGTGAGCCTGAGAAATTGCTAGCCCTCCAGTAAGGGAAATTTGGGGTATTTCTGGGTCCCTTCAAATAACCAGGATGAATCCTCATTCCTGGCATCTAACCTCAGAAATCTGATGTGACAGAACTGCAGTGTAGAGGAGTCACGCAAGGGCAATTACCAGATTTCGGGCCAGGGGTGCGTGCGTGTATCCTTTGTAAGATGTACCTTTTTCATAGGATACTAAGAAAACC